ACTTATTTTGTAAGCATGACCTAGCTTATGGCACTGGATCAAGAATGTGAAGTAATAGGAAATGGGAAGGAGGATGGAATGTAACTGGTGTCGTGCCTCCAACATTGTTGTTTCCTGTATGGTCCCCTTCCAGACTTGATGCACCTATGCTCATTTCTACCTCATCCACCCACTAAATACCAACCAGTAAGAGTAAGAGAGGCCAAGAACTGTTAGACTCATGCACATTTTAGTATATTACAAGCAAAAAATCATGAGAAACAAATGATTTAGTGTATCTAAAAATACTGGGGAAAACCCTCAATATTTACAAACCACAATTCATTGCCATTTTTATTACCTTGCACTTCTATGGCGCCGCCAGCTTGAAATCTGCATTAGGGTTTCAACAGTTATATTATCTTTGGCTTGTTCAAGGTGGGTGTGATATTTGTTTTCTCGGCCTATGAAGACATATATGTTCTTGCAAAATGTAAACATATGAGCTCAAATATATTGAGTCAGCACACAGTGGATCACATTACTAATGTTATAATATGAAAGATAATATTGCTCTATATGAAAAGTAGAATGAAGTACCATTTGTAGGTGCTCAAATTAAAGTATTGATTAAAATATATCTAATTACATCTATACTTAAATATCCCAGTTTGTACCTTGATGAAGTTCTCAACTACGAAAATATCTTATAAATGAACTTATATATCATCTACACTTCTACTTTTGTGCCATAAATGATTAGTGAAGTCATATTTTCTTTCTTTTGTGGACGGCAGCACCTACCCTCACTAGCCACCCATCTGGTTTCCCAGCAAACAAGAAAGATATATAGCAAGACATCAAAGCAGCCCAATTAACCTGCCTGAATCACAAGTGCTTTTGTGGTAGAGAGATGAGTTTTCATTCTGGTATTTGTTCCCCCATTTGTAGGTAGATGGACCTTATGTAATCTTGTATATACTGAGTACTATGTAAAAAACTCTTTTTTTCATATGTAATTGCAAAGATTAATTGCCTTCCATGCCTGGTGAAATAATCCCAAGTTCAGAATTAGTTAAATTTGAGTAAATGATATTTCTTTAGATTTTAAAAATATGGTATCCACTTATTTCTAAATTAGTTTGATAAGAACAAATGTACTTATGTATGCTAAAACTATAGGAATATATCAATTATATTAAGATCATAGTGTTTCATAGATTTTTAAAATTCTATTCCCTTTAGAAGTCAATCCAAGAAGAAAAAAGACGACCAAGGAAAGATAGGTAATTACTATTTTTAGATTTCAGTAAATCATCTTATTTAACCAAAATATATGTCCATATGGTCAAATTATGATTGAAAATCACCTATTTTATATGAATAGTTTTGGGAAGTAGTGTGCTTTCAATATATTTATAAATATGTGACTTATATGTAATTTATAAGATCTTGCCTTTTGGGAATTTGTTGAGCTAACACAGTGCAAGACATACAGTATGAACACAGATATGGTAGTTTTTGGATGAATTGTACTGTCCCAGGACAGAATCTGCTTTTCCTGGTCTATCGATAAATGGTTTTGACTGGGGCAATAAAGGTTTTGATTTTCTTTTTAATTTATGGTATATACTGTTTTTGCACATTTCAAGGCTTCTCCTATTTCTATTAACATGTATGTGTGACTCCTGCATTAGACTAAATAGTTTAAAAGAACAAAGTAAGTATCCTGTAAGTTTACAGGAGTAGAAAATAACATTGACACTGTGGTGTGTTTATGTGTTCATTTACAGTCAGGGAAAATTACTAGATTTGGAAGATTTTTATTACAAGGAATTTTTGCCCAGTCATTCCAGACCAAAGGAACATAACATGTGTTTAAAAGAACGAAGACAACAGAGAGAACTTCAAAATCAATGTTTTAAGGCTGGTGAAAGGTAATAAATTATACATTAAAGTACAGCATTTTCAATTTTATACTCACAATTCTGTTTCTAAAGCACTTTCATATTATGAATGGATTGATGGCAAAGCATTCTTAAGATGCCTCTTAAAATTAGTATGTTGTTTAAAAGTAAAATCATAAGTATTATAGTAGAGAAATCAGACATTTAAGCACAATCCCAGTTTATACCTGTTTCCTTGGTGTGTGTAATCATTAATAAGCACCCCCTTTTATTTATTTTATTAAAATATCGTTGATATACAATCTTATGAAGGTTTCACATTAACAACATTGTAGTTTCAACATTCACCCATATTAAGTCCTCACCACCCCCCACATTGCAGTCACTGTCTATCAGCATAGTAAGATGCTATAGAGTCATTACTTGTCTTCTCTGTGTTGTACTAATAAGCACCCCCTTTTAAAAGTACCTCAGTTTCCTTGAAACCAATATAAGATTGTATACCAACTATACTTCAATTAAAGATAATACCTCAGTTTGGATAAAAAATCATATCATATTAATTATAAATAAATCATATCTAGAAAATCTGTGTTTTAAGTCTAAGCATGTAATTTTAATCCCTTGTGGGTTTCTCAATTATGCTGTGTAATTGCTCAGAATTAGTGGGTGACCTCAGACCAAAAACTATTTTGGAAAAAGTTTCATATAGAAATATTTATTTTGGATTTGATTTCTTACTTTGACACTGACTGGGTGACATTAAGTAAAATAAACCATTTGTAGCTTGCTTATTACTACTTTAGGAATTTTTTTTCCTTTCTCCAAAAATTCTTTCTGAAGTTTTGAAATTGAGGGCACATAATAAGATGGAAACATGGCTTATGAAAAATGGAAGCATATGAAAAGCTGTGTTTCCAAAACCCTAAGCAAACATCCTGTCAGCCTCAGACACTCACCGTCTCTTTTACAGGGTGACACGGTGCTTAAGAGGAGAGGTTTTAGAGTCAGTTTTAGATTGGGATCCCTATTCTGCCATTTAGTAGTTCAGTGACCTTGCTCATGTTGCTAGACCACTGTTAGCTACTGTTTTCACATGTGCAAAAGTACTTCCTAATAACTGCCTCACCGTGTCGTCATAGAGATTAAATGAAATGATGTAACTGAAGCACTTAACCCCTGATGTGGCCTAGGGGAGGCATTCCCTAAATAGTGACTATTATCATCTTGATTTACTTTTTCAGAATCTGCCTATGATTTCTAGCCCTTGTCTCCAAAAGAAGATGTGTTCTCCCTTCTTGGGATCAAGAACTATGACTTGTTGGAGGTTAGAGATGTTCTAGTCTAAGCACCGAGCTCTATACAGGAGAATAAAAAGTCACATGTTGAGTTAGTGAACTGAAAGTCAAGGTGTTTCACTCCTTTCTCAACTTGCTTTTCACTGACTTAACCTGCTTCTCATTTTAACAACCTGGACTGCCTCCTGCCCAGTATATTCTCCCGCTTCCCCCACCACAGACACTTATCTGCTGTAAAGCATTCTATTGCTGAAATACTGCCTGGTGCCTATGGATATGTAGTTAGAATTCACTAGAAAAGAATGCTAGAAGCTAGTATTAACTGAATGGTGACTTTGTGCTAGGCGCTGTGCTGTTACCTGATTTCATCCTCGCAGTAGTGAGGCAATTTCTATTATTGCCCCATTATATAGATGAGAAGACAAAGTCTACAAAGGTTAATGACTGCAAAGAGTCAGGTAGATAAGTGTTGGAGCCAGAACTTAAACATAGGCATTTTTGAGTTTAGAGTCCATGGCCTTCACTACGCCTCTGCATGGCCACCTTGTGCAAAGCCCATGCTAGGTGCTTGAGGGAGGGGTGGATACAGCGACGCGGGAGGTGGGACCTTAGGGCCAAGGCACTGGGCTCTGGAGAGAACGCATACTGAGCTAACAAAGCTAAGCAAGGGAATCCAACAGGATTTTTCTAAACTAAGGAAGATTAAAGAGACAACAACCGAAATGCAGTAGGTAAACCTTGAGAGGATCCTGGGTTTAAAATAGAAAGCAAAAGCAAAACAGGAAAACAGCTCCAAAGGACATTTTGGGACAATTACAGAGTTGAGGCCAAACTGTATGTTGGAAGATGTTATTTCAGAAAGAGAATATGTATCTTATTATCTATATTAAAGTATTATATAATAAATGTATTCTATATTTTATACACTTATAAACAAATATAATGCATTATGTTAATAATATGTCACATATATTTTACATACACACACACCCCAAGTACTGATGTCATCCCAGAAGGTGTGCGTAGATCTGGGAATCAGGGACAATAGCAATGATGAGTTGAGTACGTTACAGATTTTAATGAGTGGAGGAGGAAGGCAGGTAGCCGGGGACTAGAGAATGCCCTTAGAGGCAGCAGGAGAACTGATGTCTTCTTGTCTCCTCCTAAGGTGGGCCTTGGTGGGGGGGTCTCTGGGGAGCAATAATGAGAGAGATGTGGGGTATTTAAGGTATAGCCAGGTTTTAATTATGGCAAGGAGATATAGGGAGGAAGGAAGGGGGGAAATGGAACAAGAGTGCCTGAGTTAAGGATAGGAGAATCACGAAAGGAGCATCAGCACAGAAGAGGCCAAGGGGTGCAGTGGGAAAGTGTGAGGAGTGAGTGCTGTAGACGGGGGTTTGATCCTCACTCCACTCCTCACTGTCTGTATCAAGTAGAATCTTTCTGTTTCCTCATCTGTAGATTGAGGAAAGAAGAATCTAAGGCCTGGACATGCTGTCCTTAAAATTAGAGTTAATGTGTGTGATGTACCCGGCAGATGGTTGATAATCAGCAGAAATAAGCTGAACAGGTATGAGAATCAAGTCAGTTACTAACAGAGAACACTGATCTGCCCCATAGACACCCATGGTGATGCTACACCAACACTTCCCCTGCCAAGTAACCACTGAGCTCAGGATGCCCTGCAAGACCTTCTTTATAAAAGGGTTCTTTTATTTTTTTAATTCCCTATTCAGTAAAGGCATATCATCTGCAGGCAAAATTCTAGTTCTCTCCTTCCATCATTATTTCCACTCATTTGCATATACCTTCAACAATGTAGCCCTTTCTTCTCCCTTATATTCAAGTAGCAAGCCCCACTTTCCAACTCAATCCATACCTGAACCCATAGAGCTGAACTTCTCAGCACTGGGGGTGGGGCGGGGGGCTAGTCCTTTGCTTTATCAACACACACTTATCATGAACTTAAATGTCTATCACCTGTTTCCTTAAAATTCCTAAACTGAAATTCCTAGTCGTAGGTTAGGATTTATATATCAACTGCCTATTCAATATCTCCTCTATATCTAATAAGTATCTTGAATTTAGCTTAACTGAAACCAAAAATCTGTATTTCCCTCTCCCCCAAAATATACTCCTCCTATAGCTTCCCCCTTCCTTTAATGGTGACTTCATCCTTTAAGTTGTTTCAGCCCAAATCCTTGGAGACATTCTTGATTCCTTTCTTTTACAACCCACATCCAGTCCATCAGCAAACTTTCAGTTCTGCCTGCCAGATATGATCAAAATCTGACCAACTCTTTCTCCTCTACAAGCCCAGCCCAAACCACAATCATCACTCTTGCTTGAACTGGTGCAGTATCCTTACTTCCACTTTGGCAGCCGGATCCTTTTGTGAATCATTCCTCCTCTCAGATCTCTTCCAAATCCATCTTGATCTAAGTAAAATTCAAGTCTTTCTACGGTCTCAAACCACTGAATCATCTGCTACGTATCCCTCTTTCCTTGCTCTTCTCCCCCTTGCTTACTCCATTCAGGCCACGATGGCCTCCTTGCTGTGCCTCAAACTAAGTATACACACTGTAGTCTTGGGACCTTTACATTGGTTGACTCATCATTCTAGAATGAAGGCTCCTCTCAGAGATCTGGCTGGCTCACTCTTCCCCATCCTTCAGGTCTCTCCTCACAGGTCACCTTATCAGAGAGACCTTTCCTGATCACCTTCTATGAGACTGCATGGACACACACCACCGCCTACTCTCCATCTGTCTGTCCTGTAAGCCTGCCTTACTTCCCTGTATAGCATCTCCCACCACCTGGTGTATGAAAGTTGTTGGGGGTCCTCCCTCAGGCTAGACTATAAACTCCATCAGAATGGAGCCTCTTGGCACTGCACTGGGGGTTGATCCAGTAAGTAGGTGGTCCACGAACAGAGGAATAAATCTATGTAGCTGCACTTGCCCCACTTCCCAGGCAAACTGCAGAATCTAAAGGTAAATGTAAAGGTAGGGCTTATGAATGGTGGCCCAACACTGAAACGTTGAAAAAGTGGACAGGGCCTACAGCTCCTGTGCTGCTCAGGGAGTGTTTGTTTAGATGGGGGTGGGAGGGTGTTTAAAGAAACATTTGAGCAGTTTTAAAATGTGAAATGATGGTTGTCTATTTATGCACCTTGAGTTTTCCTGTTTGACCAGAATGTTAAAAATTAAGGTATTAAAATAAATATTTGTTTATTGCTTGTGAGTTATCTCAAGCCAAACGAAGCTGACCTTCCTGAACTGCACCTTCTGACGCTTTCTTTAGGTGTTGTCCACACACACTGCTGCCGGGTTCCACCAGTCCTGCTCCTCACTCAGAGGTGTTTTGAAAACCTGCTGAGAAAATGATGGCAGATACGTTTGGCACTATCCAGACGTCTGAACATGCAGTTCTTAAATGCCCGCAGTTGGTGGGAGGTGTGGAGAGGAGGACCCGCCTAAATTGGGGTGGGCGGGGACGAGCTGTGCGGTGTGGCGTCGCTGACGCTCGGGCCCGGATCTCGCTCGCAGGTGCTGGGCGGCGGCGAACCCAGAGGAAGAGGAGGACGAAGCGCCCGCAGCCAACCCCTACGACTACCGGAGGCTCCTGCGCAAAACCTCCCAGCGCCGGCGCCTGATCCAGCAGCTGTAGCCCCTCTGCCCAGCGGCCACCGCCGTCCTAATGTGCCAGAAACCGCGGGGCTTGCAGGGGCCTACGCGGGGGACCGCAGGAGCCCGCACCTCCAGGCGCTGAAGCCGCGCCTCTGACCTCGGCCGGGGCTGCGGCTGCGCCCGCCCCGCCAGTGCCCGGGCCAGCCTTCGGTGCTCCTGATGGGGCTGCCAGTTGGACCATCCCTCTCTCTGCGCCCCCCCTCCCCACCCCCGTGTATCTCTTTGTTCACTTGTTTTTTTGGCTCCTGTGAGCCCGACTACGCCTGAGTTCTCGCAGACTCCTCCTGTCTCATTTTGGATGACTTTAAAGAAATGTCTTCTTTCTTGGAGACAGCTCTCCCAGGCCGCGGGGACACCTGCGACTGTATTGCGTCTGCAAGAACCTCCTCTCCCGGGTGGAGGAGAAGAAGGGAGGCAGGGGAGCTTTGAAGATGAAATTCACCTCAACCTCGTTCTTTCCCTTTCCTTGCTTTATTAAGATTATTAAATAAAGTGCTTTGGAAAGTCCATGGCCTTCTGGGCTGGTCTGCCACAGTCCCTTTTGGGGTCAGGCCCCTGGCTGATCGGTGCCCAGGGAGTGTAAGGTGCCTTCTGTTTCCATCAGCGATCAACCCCCGACCCCCAGCCATGCCAAACAAACATAACCATCTGAGTTAAAACCCCGAACTCGAGACACAAACGTGGCCTCCAGACAAATCTCTAAATCACCCCCACGCCCACCCCCACAGGCTTCCCAACCAACGTGGCTCCCCTTGGCTCCGCCTATAAAAATTCTGTCGGGTTTTTAAGGTTCTCCTAGTCTATAGATTTGGGGCAATCCCTGCTGCTCGGATTTTGGTGTATTTTAGATAGAGGGGAGGGCAGTGGTGGGTAGAGGTTTGCATTCCACGGTTGACTGCATCTTATTTAACACCCGGGTTGAGCTCCTCAATGAAACTAACACCCTCCCTGTCTACGCCGTCTGGAAAGGGTGAGGAAGGGTGACACGACAGTTTTGTGGACGACTGACTTGGAAGACGGTCAGACTGGGACCGGCTTGTCCCTTCTGCTGCCGTCCCCTAGCTCCTGTACTCGCTGCCGCGAACCTGGAGACTCTGGGAAAATATTCGAGGAGACAGTGAGGGCACGTTGAGCTACACGCCCTCCAAATGTGAGGTTGGTTCTTTCTTACCCAGATCAGCGCCACAAGGTCCCCAGAGGTGACTGTACAGCCTCTTCATTTCACAAATAAGACCCACATGAAGGGAAACCTTCCACTGTGGCAGGGTTCAGCTCGGAGTCCGAGCACGCTCTAAGCCCTGCTCTTTCCCTGGGATGCAGGCTGGGCCCGGCACCCGCACCAACGAAACCTGCACCTCGGGGGACACTGTACTAGCGGGGTAAGGGAGGAATAGCTGTAACCCCAGGTTCGCTGGTCCCTTCCGCCCTAACCCACCCATCCACCCAGCACCCGGAGGCCCTTGCGCGGGGAGTGGGGCGGGGGGGGCGGAGGGGGAGGTAACCCAGCCTGCTTCCCCACCAGGCCTCACCTTAAAACCAGTTCCTGAGTGGCCCCTGCAGACCGGAGCCTCTTCCATGGCTGGACAGGGAGGCAGGAGGCTCGCTCCCGTATCTCCCCCCTCACCCCCACCTTTAAAAGTGGGACTGGAAAAGAAAATGGCAAACTGCTTCGTGAAAAGATGCAATATTTTTATTTTCCTTTTTTCTTTTGCGATTCTTTGTCTTTTTCCTCCTTTTTCTTTCTTTGCACCTTCTTGCTCTGTCCTTCGATATTTAAGCACTCACTAGGCAGACATAACGAAAAACTTGCACTCTCTTTGACGGGACTGCAAGGCAACTTCATTTCTGGGTAAACTAGTAACAAGAATTAGGTCAACCCAGGAAACCTGCCCGGCTGTCGACGCCTGGAGCTGACGCCTGGAGCAGGGGTCTCTCTCCGTTTGTAGAGAAAAACCTTCCCCAGCTCTGCCCCTCCTCCCTTCCCACTGGCTGCCTCCTTTGTGAACTAATGACTGTAATTATTACTTCCCTAAGCTCTTTTGTTATCTCCCAACCCCAAGCCAGAGAGAGGGAAGAATGGGCTCTTTGGCGAAATGTCTTTATAAAGCAAATTGCGGTCTAGGGAGGGACAGCGTTAAGGAAAGACAAATCAGATTCCCGCGACCATCTGAGAGGTAGGCTGTGTTAAATAAAAAATGTAAATACCACCATTAGATTCAAAGTGCTCCGAACCTGTGGGATTTAGTGGAGTTTTAGTAGGGTATTTAAGTCTTTGTATTAAAAATATTCCGTTAAATCCAGGTGTTTTGATTTCTACCTTCCTCGCGCTTTAATCCGTTTAATCTTTTGTGGCTTTACGTTTGCTTTAAACGCTTGTTTTAAAGAACCTTTATGTTTTCGACCATTCATGCATAGTAGAAATGTTTTGCAACCCTAGCCTGCTGACTTGAACCGAAACGTTTGCAGGATTTGGTGTGGATTTAAAGAAAGAAACAGTCTCTCCGACTTAAACCTGCACTGCTCGAGCAAGAGCTGCGGAGCTGTGCAGACGGCCAAATCACGAAGCCTTTACAGCCCTGGAGTTGTTACCTGAACCCATAGGAGCACTGGAGCTCGGAGCACCGGGGGGAGGGGCCGAGCTGAGAGGCCTGGGTTAGAGACCACCGCCCGCTGGCAGCCTGGTGCAGCTTTCACGATCACTGCCCGCACCATTCCCCGCTGCCACTCGGGGCCCCGCCCGGCGGCCGCGGTGCGGATCCTCCCTGCCCGGGCACGTGCGAAGAGAACTAAGCTTTGTGGGGAGAATTTACCAGGACCCCGCATGCCTGAGGACACAGAAGTTAGACTTGCACGCGGCCACCTTGGGCCCGACGACGCCCTTCCCAAGCCAGCCAGGGTCGATGGGTGGTAGCCAAGATTGAAGATCCTTGGATCTCTGCTTTGGGAACATCTTTGGTGGCTTTAATCAGGAGGTCAGAGAAAGAATGGCTTGTTAACTCAATGGAAATGAAAAGGAGAGCGGCGAAGAGCCGAGAAATGCACACCGCGCGGGAGGCCCGGGTCAGTCTCTCCCTCCCCGGTCATCCTCGCCCTCTCTCCCCGACTCTCCCAGCCGCAAGGTGGACTGATCCTGACCTCGACTGACAAAGGAAAGCAGCGCCGACTCGACGGACTCCGGATCCTCGGGGCGCCCTCGCTTTGTTTCACAACTTCTAAAGAAAGGAAATTGTATGAGAGGACAGATTCTGACTTTCTCAGGAAGGGAGAAACCCCTTCCCACCAGACCTCAGAAAAAGGGAATCGCCCTCCTCCCCAACGCTGTCGCGAAAATAATCTTGGGGGAACTAGGGACAGGGGGTTGGAGGTAGGAGGGATATAGCTTTATATGAGGCCCACTAAAAAACAGGCCCAGCAGGCGATGCTTTTCCTTCCGCCTTTTGGAAAGCTCAGATTGCTTAGTTGGAAACTGTGCACGTCTCCCTCGCACACACCGATTCCAGTCCCAAGTAAGCAGAAGGGCCCTTTACCCGCTTCCGCGGACCAAGGTCACTAAACAATGGCATGCCATCCCACAACAGCCGTCAGTCCTGCCCGCTCTAGAGGATCTCCCTCGCCAACCTCCAGGGAGTTTCCATTGGTTTTATTTTTTTCGCCTGTCCTCGGTCCTGGGTGATAGACTCTAGCATGGATTTTAATTGTCGCAACCGATAGTCTTTCTCCCCAGCCTTCACTCAGAACCTGGACGGTGGCTCTGGCGACCAAGATCTTGAAAGAACAGGAATGGTGCGCCCCCGGGGACCGCGCGGCTCAGTGGGCCGGCATAAGGCTCTACTAAGGAGCTGAAAGCAGTCCATCAGTGCGTTGGCACCTTTCCCCCACTGTCCCCTCCTCAAGCTCACGAGCAGCTCTATTCCAGCCCTACCGCCGGGGCTATCGAGGTCACAACGACCTCAGCATCCTCTTGGAGAAGGCGGCGCGGGAACCGCGGCTTCTTTCCCGCAGCCGGAGCCACACCTCAAATGATATGGCAATGGACGCGAATATATGACTCGCCACGGCCACCCTTCCTACCCAGCCAAGGTCTCTGTGATCTGCCCCCGCCAGGCCAGCGCTGTCAGCCGCGTTAGCACTCTGGACAGCGCACCCGGCCCGCGGCCGCTGCCCTCTCCCCGCGCTCAGCAGGGGCTTGCCTGAGCGCCTCCCACGCACTCGCTCTGACTCCAGCTCGTGGGCATTTCCTGCCTCACCCTCCCTCTCTCGTTTTTTCCCTCCGCCGCCCCCTCATTCGTCCCTATTGGTCTCCTTCAGAATCACTCGGGCGCTCCGCGCTTTCCCATCTTCTGGCTGCGGGGACCCATCCGTCCCCTTCCCAATTTAACCTCCTGTTTTCAGAGCGTTGCCACGTCTCCAAGCCCTAACCCCACACATACACGCGCGCACGCAGACACGCACGCTTCCTGTCCCTGTGTGACACCCATCTTCAACGGCGCGGTGCCCCCCTCTCGCCACACTCACACACGCACGCGCGCTCGGGCCGAGCAGAGGGCAGCTCGCCGACAGTTCGCACTCGGAGGAGACGCGCTCCGGTCTAGCAGCGCCGATGGCATCTCCGGGCTCCGGCTTTTGGTCCTTCGGGTCTGAAGATGGCTGCGGGGACCCCGAGAACCCCGGCACAGGTAGGAGAACCGGGACCCGCAGTAGGCGAGCTTTGCTGGAGGACTGGAATTTGCGAGGCTTGGGAAGAAGGAGATTTTCCCACCTGCAACCTGGAAACTTCCGACGCTTCGCTCTGCTCTCGGGGTAGTCCCGGCAGGCCCCTGGGACCAACTCCCCATACGCCCTTGTCCCCTGGGAAGATGCCTGAAGAATCCTTGGCCCTTTCTGCAAAGTGTAGGAGAGTCCTCCAAACAAGCGGCATCTCCGCGATACCGAGTTCGAATTCCGTGGGCCTGGGGCACTGCCGCCATCTTGGTGTCTGGATCCTGGAGAGAAACGGAGTGGCAGTAGGGAGAGGGGAAACTGGCAAAGGGAGAGAATTCTTGGTTTGGAAGGAGAGGCCGGGAGGAAAAAGGCAGTCCCAGTGTATGGGAAAACTCGCCCCAGCGAGGCAGGGAGGTGAGTTTGCCTGGAACGATTGGCACTGGAAGGCAAGAGCGAGGGGCTGCAGAGTGCGATTCTCCTTGGAAACCAAACAGCTAACCAAGGGCAGGTCCGCGCCGTCCGGCTCCCGCACCTGCCCATGGTGCCCAGCCCTGGGCGGCCGCTGCCGGATCCCGGCATTTTTTTTTTTTTTTGACGTTGTTCACCTAGAACGAAATTTCACCCATCCGTCTGTTGTCTTTCTGCTTCGCTGTCCCCCGGTTTGTCTTTCCTTGCAGCGAGAGCTTGGTGTCAGGTGGCCCAGAAGTTCACGGGCGGCATCGGAAACAAGCTGTGCGGTGAGTGCCAGTGCTCAGGGCGCGAGTTGGACAAGGCCGGGCGCCTGGGGCCCGCGGGGACAAAGCCGCCTTCTCACCTGCGTGTTCCCATCAGCGGAATCGGGGGCTTTTGCCGGGAATGGGCTGGGACGAGGGGGCCGGGCCTGGCAGGCGACTGACCGGCGCACCCCTTGTACTTGCCCAGCCCTGCTCTATGGAGATGCCGAGAAGCCAGGAGAGAGCGGCAGGAGC